GATCCCCCTAAAACTAAAACTACAGGAGGATCATCTTTACATGTTTCTCAGATACCAGATGAATGATCTGAGCACACACAAACCTTGTAACTATGGCAGATATCTGACGGTGCATTTAATTCCTTTCAAGGCCAGAAAATACTGCATACAAAGAAAAATAGAAGCTGAACTCAATAAATTGCTAAATATTGTTAAGTATAAAATGAAAACAACTATTTCCCATTTGAAGAAAGGCGGAAGGAGTATAAATAGTCTAAAGTCAATCAGCATTCTTTGGCAATCTACTTAAAGCAGTCTTAAAAAATGAATAAGGTGATTGTTTTATGATGTCCTTACTATGTAGATGGTGTTTTCCTACTGGAATGTATGTTGTGCTTTCTCCCAGTAGTATTTTTTTAAAAAAAAATCTCTATATTTCCATGCAGAGCCACAATTGGCTCATGGGAGCCAATTTATGAAACATCCGCCCATTGTGATTCACATAATGGATTTTTCTTTGTCTCTCTTGGCTTGTTATTCTTGTTATTAAGGAAATACTGAGAACCCTAATTCTGTCCAATTTCAGTGCCCAATCATAGTTCTATCCCAACCCATTTTGCTTGGGTATTTTTGAAAGAATGTACAAAAAGTATGTATTTAAATTGTTTTAAATTTTTCTGAACCTTATACACTCTTTCTGAAGGAAATCAGCCCTGAGTGCTCACTGGAAGGACAGATCCTGAAGCTGAGGCTCCAATACTTTCGCCACTTCATGAGAAGAGAAGACCCCCTTGAAAAGATCCTGTAGTTGGGAAAGATTGAGGGCACAAGGAGAAGGGGACAACAGAGGATGAGATGGTTGGACAGTGTTCTCAAAGCTATGAACATGAGTTTGAACAAACTGCAGGAGGCAGTGGAAGACAGCAGTGCCTGACATGCTCTGGTCCATGGGATCACAAAGAGTTGGATACAACTAAACGACTAAACAACAACTACAACACTCTTTTTACATAGAATGCAATTTTCCCCATTGCATTTTGGATTTCACTAAGTTGTGTACTTTTCCTGGTTGATGTAGCTATAATATCAATATAATGTTGATTTATTTTAGCTTACATAAATGAAGTATTCTTTTATTGTGATTCATTATTTCTGGAATTTAGAAATGTCTCATGTTCTTTTGGTGGAATTAGCACACTTCATTAAAACAAAAGAAGGATTCCCGGGATGGAATAAAATGGTTATGTTTTATTCATTCTTGTAAAATAATAAAATATATTCAAACAAACAACATAATTTTTCAACAATCTATATCATATATATCTATATGATATTCAAGTATTTAGTTTGTTGCAATAAGAAATGATGGCATTTCAGTAACACATAGTATCTGTATTAGAATTTGTATTTCTGGCATTAAATAAAGAAGTTTTTAAAAATTGAGCATACCTTAATAGAATATTCTCTTCTTTACTATTATGCTTTTAAATGCTTCATGGACCTGAGTATTCCTCAAGGTGTAGATGAAAGGGTTCAGAAATGGTGTCACCACACAATAAAAGACAGACACTACTTTGTCTGTATTATGGATATCCCTTGCTGAAGGCCTCACATACATATAGATGACTGAGCCATAATATATTAACACTACACTAAGATGGGCAGTGCAAGTGGAGAAGGCTTTACGCCTCCCCCCACTGGATGGCATCCGCAGTATAGTCACAATGATGTTGATATAAGACACCGTAATCAAGCAAAAGCAACCCAAAACCATTGAAGAAATGGACATGAAAAAGAAAAATTCAATGAATGATTTCCCCCTACACGGAAGAGTCAGCACTGGGGCGAGATCACAGAAGAAATGGTTGATTATATTGGGCCCACAGAAATTCAGCCTGGCAAGAAAAATGGTTGGGGGCAAGGGAGCAAGGAAAGCTCCCACCCAACACCCAAGAATCAGAGATTTACAGACTCTATTGTTCATCACTGTGGTATAGTTCATAGGGTTACAGATGGCTAAGAAGCGGTCATAAGCCATAAGCACCAGCAGGAAGTTCTCTGTCAGGCCCAGGAAGAGGTTGAAGTAAAGCTGTGTGAAGCAACCAACCAGGCTGATCACTTTCCTGTCTTTTAAGAAGTCGAACAACATTTTGGGGATAGTGTTTGTCATGTGTCCAATTTCTATCAAAGACAAATGGCTTAGGAATAAATACATGGGAGTTTGGAGCTTCTGATGTAACTGAACAATGGTGATAATTGTGATGTTCCCACATATGGCCAAGATGTATGCCAATAGGAAGAGTGCCAGAAGAAAAGTCTGAAGCCTTTGAGGATTAGAGAAACCAAGGAGGATGAATTCATTCACAGAAGTTTGGTTTTCTGAGACCATATTGTATCTGTTAATGACCTTCAAAATAAAAGTAATATAATATATTCTTAATAACAAGTAGCAAAAACCTAGCTTCAGACAGATATTAATAATACATGTTATGGCATTTACACTCACAGGGCAGCTGTGGATTACATTTGTAATGTAACAGTAAGTTCTTTTTCATCTATTCAGGTTACCATTCTTGTGTCACACCCTAGAGCAGGGGTAGCAAATATATTTCAGGCCAAGGGCTGCACTTCCACTTGGGCAACATTCACACAAAGAGTGTGAACATAGCATGAAAACATAAAAAGAACCTGCTGGATCAAGCCAGTCGTCCAACCACTTCAGCTTCCTATTCTCACAATGGCCACACAGATACCTGTGGGAAACCTGCAAGCAGGGTTCAAGCACAAATGCACTCTACGTTTCTGAGCTTGCCAGGAACTGGTATCCAGGAGCACACTGCCTCCTACTTGTAGAGGCGGAGCATAGCCATCACGGTTAGTAGCTAGTGATAGCCTTATCCGCATTGAAGTTGTCCAATCCTCTTTTAAATCTGTCCAAGTTGGTAGACATCACTGCCTCCCATGGGAACAAGTTCCATAGTTTAAATATGTGTTGCATGAAGAAGTGCTTCCTTTTATCTGTCATGAATCTTCCAGCATTCATCTTCACTGGATTTCCATAAATTACAGCCTTATGACAGAGGGAGAAAAATGTCTCTACCCACTTTCTCCATGGCATCCATAATTTTGTAAACTTTTATGTTGTTGGGTCTTATTTACCTTTTCTCTAAATTAAAAACTCCCAAATGCTGTAACCTTTTCTCATGGTTTAGTCACTCCATCACCTTATTTTATTTGGTTTCCATTTCCAGAACCTCTCCCTACTATACTGTATCATTTAGAGGTGATGACCAGAACCTTACACGTTGTTCCAATGCAATCAAACCATTTATTTGTAGAACAGCAGTTTTATTTTCATTTTTAAAAATAATGATCCCTAGCTTGGAATTTGACTTTTTTATATCTTCCACACACTGGGTTGTCAACTTCATTAAGTTATTCAGTTTCACTACAAGATCTCATTCCTGGTGAGTCACTGCCATTTCAGGCCCCATGAATGCATAAGTGAAATTAAAATTCCTCCCTTCCCTAACATATATCACTTTACTCTTCTTTATGGTGAATTGCATTTGCCATCTTACTGCGTATTTACTGAGTTTGGATAAGTTAGAGCTCTTTGCAGTCCCTTTTTGTTTTAACCATCCTGAAAAATAAAATCTTCATACCCCAGACATAAAGATCCCAGACAAGTCTTCCCTCTTATTTAATTCTAATTAGGTTTGATGTGAATGTCAGTACTTCTTGATATGTAATTGGACTGTAGGTCCATTAGTACTGATTTTAATTGATATGGGCTGCACTCCTGCTCCTTTCATGCATAGTAAGCAAAATGCAGAAGGACCACAGCTCACCATAGAATACAGAAAAAGCTGCTGATTTACAGCACAATACTATGCACATCTTTGCAGAAATAAGTCCCATTGAGTTCACTGGGGCCTCCTCCCAATTAAATGTGTATAGGATTGCAGTCTCAGTGGGGAAACCTGTTTTTAGGAAAACAAATGAATGACTGAGAGCTGTTTTCTGATGCTGCTCAAAGTTATTAACACGCTACCAAATTTATTCCCCATTCCAACTCTTGCTACATCATACTTTTTACCTGGCATCTTCTGCATGCAAAACATGGGCTCTGGGACTGTGCTATGATTCAGACCTCTCCTTATCAGTTTTTTACTTGAGCAAAACACCAAGATGCTTTCAAAAAGACATTTCAAGTGACCATTTCAAAACAGAATTCAACTGGAAACAACATGCAGTGTTTAAATGCCCATGTTCTGAAGACCCTGAGAATGTGACCTTTTTATATTCTTCTATTGAAGCAGAAAGATTTGCAAGTACTCTATTCCAGTGTGGGACATTTACACTCCATAGCTTTTGCACAGATTTGTTTTGAGATAATCTATTAAGGGTCCTTAGGGCAATGGGCAAGATGGCCCATCGCTATATGTTCCCCCACCCCAAAAAAAAAACTTACCTTTTTTTGTCAGTGTGCCAAAGGGATTTTCTTGCCCAAGTTAGTCATTGTCTCCCTCTCAATATGATTTTTAAAAAAACAAATACCCAGGACAATTCGTCCTGCCTTAATTTCTAAAAGAACCATGGGAGGTTCACCTATACACCCTTCCTCAGCTGTCTCCTAGATAATCTGAATGCACACACACATCATAAGTACTGCAGATATCTGAAGGTGCATTTAATTTCTCTCAAGAATAGAAAACTTAGCATGGAAGGCAAGAAATAAGTTTTATTCCAAAAACAATTACACCAAGTATCACTGTGAAGCATTAAAAATACAACTATTCTTAATCTAAAGAAAGATGGCAGAAACCCAGGTTGTCTATAGTTAGATCATCCATTAGTATTGCTTGGTGATCTTCTTGAATTCTAAAGCAACATTGTGAGGTAACTATTTATACACTGATTCTAATGCAACAGGGTCAACAACACCATTGATGTTGTTTTCCTATTAATGTATGGCCTGTTATTTCTCAGTAGGACTGGTTAATGTTTTCATTTCCCACAGAGATTCCACTTTGGCCCATGGGACCCAATTTATGAGATACCAATCTCATAATGATTTCCTTTCCTTGAAATTGTTGTTATAAGAACTTGGTGCTGGTACATTGGAAATAACTTATTTCAATTATCCCCTCACAATTGACATGCCTCACATCAGAAATGACAGCATGTCATTCTCAGTGTTTAGTGACAGTGAGATAGAATAAATAAACATGATCAGGTATCTGGAAATAACATGTAGACTGGAGAAATGTTGATGAACCTCATGACTTTTGGGGTCAGAGTAAAGACCAGAATAAATGGGTGATAGATTGACGTATGTACAATTTAGTTGCCATGTTTATCAGTTTTGACTGATTCATGTTGATGTGTATGCATGGGAAGGGAAAGTGAGTAACTTCACTGTATTTTCCTTCCTTATTTTCAAAATATATTTTCAAATTAACACAAACCTAATCTAAAAACATATAAATACATTTCTAGAACTTGCCTTTTTCATGATACCCCCCCCCCCATTTTTGCTTTATGCTTTATTCTGGAAGATGAGTTTAGGGTCAAAACAGAGGTTGATTTCTGATGAGAAAATGAAGAAGATGCCACAAAGATGATACTAGTCGGATTTCCTTATGAGATGCCCTTTAGTGTTAAGACTAGGTTTCAAAATGACAATATAACATTTTGGAAAAAAGATACAGCCAAGTAAACCTGCAGCAGAGGCTAAGATGGAGAAGATCTCCACAGCTACCATGTATTTCCCTTTGGCGCTGAGGTAAGTTGGAACAAAGCAGACCCAAACACTGCAAAACACCAACATGCTGAAAGTGATAAATTTAGCTTCATTAAAACTATCTGGCAGGTTCCTTGCAAGGAAAGCTACCAGAAAACTGATAATGGCTAAAAGGCCCATGTAGCTGAGGACACAATAAAACATAGTGACTGATCCTTCATCACACTGAACTATGATCTGTCCACTTTCAGAGTGCATGTCTAAGCTCGGGAAGGGAGGGTTTGCTCCTAACCATACAGTGCAGATTACAAATTGGCCAAGGAAACAGAACAGGACAATGGAGTTGGCTACTCTTTTCCTCAGCCATTTCCTCATATTGCTTCCTGGCTGTGTGGCTTTGAAAGCCAGGACCACAGTGATGGTTTTGGCCAGCAAAGAAGAAACAGCAGCAGAGAAGATGAGCCCAAATGCTGTTTGTCGGAGAAGGCAGGTCACTTTCCTTGGCCTACCAATAAAGAGCAAAGGGCAGAGGAAACAAAACAGGAGAGAGACAAGCAGAATGTAGGTGATATCTCGGTTGTTGGCTTTGACAATTGGAGTGTCTTGATGCTTAATGAATATTTGAAGTATCAGAGCAGTGACTAAAGACAACATGAGGGAACAGGTAGCTGAAGCCATTCCCAAAGGTTCTTCATATGAGAGGAAGTGAATTACTTTTGGAATGCATTGATTCCGTTCTTGGTTGGAGCGTTGCTCATTTAGACATCTGTCACAATGATCTGCATCTTTTAAAAGAGTAGAAACTGTCAGTGATGTAAGATACCAGGTGAAATCAAAGTAGAATCAGGGAACAAGGATTTTGTGGGCAAAGCCCATCAGAAATGTATGTAGAGAAGGGGTAGCCAATATTCTAGATATTGTTAGAATACAGTTCCCGTCATTCCCAGCCAGCATGACCAATGGTCAGGGATGATGGGAGCTGGAGTTCAAGTATATCTTGACTACACCACCTTAAGTAGCCCTGATACAAAGTTTTTAATATTTAGTTGTTTTTAATATTTAGTTGTTTTCTTTTTGTAGGGAGGGGCTTTCAGCTTCACTGCTGCTAGGCTTGCTGAATTTTAACTTTGTTGCTTACCCAGAGGAATTAGTTGGCATTCATGCACTTCCCTTCTTCAGGCTATAACTTATGGTAGTTTGTATGAAGATTTCTCTTTTTAAAGTCAGATTTACAGTGCTGGGAATGGCAATACATCATCATGCAGTCTCATTCTCAGGGGCATCCCAGCCAAATGTTACAGAGCCTGGGCATTTTCTTTCCATCACTCTAACTCTTGCCCACTTGTCCACACACCTTCGCTTCATGCAAATTGGGTTGCGAAGTGGAGAAAGAAATTTCACCCAGCCCCATACTTAGTGCTGAAAGAACTATGGGACTCCAGGACTTTCCTACCTGTCTGGTTAGAAATCATCCCTTCTGGGCATGGAGTGCAATCATAGCAGCAGACTTGTTTACCCTCCTGAACTCTCTGGCTGTATCCAGGATGGCAGCTTTCAGAACACACAGAACGGGGCAGGGCCTAAATAGAAAAATAAGGCGATTAAAGTATTGCTGGTGGAGGATGCTAATCCTTCACTTGGGGTAGATAGGTGTAATCCTGTGAATAGTGACATAGGGAACACCAGAGACTATTGCACTAGTTGTATTACATTCTTACCCCTGACTCAAATAAAGGTCACACTATTTACTGGCATATGACTTAAGGAATGACACATCACAATTCTGTTGGGGGCAAATTTATCCATGCTATCCTTCCTTCCTTCTATTATTTTCATATTTAAGTAAGAAAAGGAAGGGGGGAAATCACTGAAAGTGAAGAACGAAAGAAAAAATTAAAAATACTAATAAAAAGACGACAACAACAACAACAACAAAACACTATAGGTTATTTTGTGGACATAGTAACCATCAGAACATGCATCTTAAGTTAAAAGTATGAATTCATATAAACCCTCTAGATGTCGAAGTACGTATTCAAGTGAAACTGATGTCTATAGAAAATATGCTCAAATGTGATTCCCTCACACCATTGTATAATAGATGGTGGGCGTTCAAGGGCACATTCTAGTGAGGCAAAAACTCTAAAGGAGGGTACAAAGCAGAGGAAATAGGAGTGTGGCTTAGTGAGAGTCCCAAGTGCCAGTTGCAGGGGGTTAGAGGCTCCCCAACTTTTCTAGATATCTGGGGGAACTTCTTACACTGCTGATGTCTCCTCTTGCATGTGGGTGGTGCAGAACTTATGGCTTATGAAGCATGACACAAGGACTTTGTTATTTGTGCATATAATATTAATGACTAAAATAACCCACCTTGTTGAACCAACTGTTCCAAGTTATTGCATGATCTTTAATGATAAACTTCTTGTGTACTGATGTATGGGCGTCCATTATTCCAATTTTAGCTCGAATGAGGGATCCATTAGGGAACACATAGCAATTCACAATATCATATCCAGTTGTAGACTCCTGGTGCTCATTAAAAAATATCTCTTCCCCAGCACTATTGTTAAACCTGATGTTTCTTAACATATGGTGTAGCTTTTTTAAAACAAAACAAAACAATCACATCATATGGTAGGGATTGTTGGAGAAATCTTAGAGCCTGGAGAATGATCAAGGATGATGGGATTTTCAGTTCAAATTAGGGAGGGCATCAAGTTGGGCAAATTGACTTTGGTCACATCATCACCATCAGGATCATCTATCAATAAAAGAATAATAAATATTGAAACATGTTACCTGCTGCTGCACATTCCTTAGTCCGAATCTGCTTCTTTTCCCCAACTTTATGTGCTTGGAGGTGGATAAGTGCATTTCATGTAAAACATGTGCTATGACATGAACAGCATTGTAGGCACTATAGCTCTGACCAGACATGCTCATTTCAAACACAGCTCCTGGCAGAGACTCCAGGTGTTCCTCTGTTGAACATCTTATCTCACTGGTCCTATCAGAGTAGATAACTCCACAGTGAAATACTTTCTTGTAGAATTCTTTCATGAACACGTCTTTTGGATGATATCGCTGAGGATTAAAGGCCTTAAGAAAATCTTGGAAACCTGGCACAACAGTTGTGTGAATTGTGAAAGCCAGAGCACCATGGAAATGTTTTAGAGACCAGAAACTCTGAGAGTCCACTGCAGTAAAGTCCCACTGGGCATTCATGATCCAAACTTTCCCTACAAGAGCCATTTGAGCACCTTGATAATTCAAATCTATCCAGAAAGTAAATAGCATTAGGGATTGGGAATCCCCACATACAACAACCACATTGGCTTTGGTTTGAGAGAATGTGTGATACATTTTTGCCTCTTCCTTTTCTATATCTGTGGTTATTGCAGAGGTTATTGCCAAGATACTATGAGTGAAAGCCACGCAAAGATTATGCTGAATGAGCAATCCCTTCAGAGTCTGAACAAAGGTTTCTCCACTGTGATCATCTGGAGCAATGAGACCAACCCATTTCCATGAGAAATGCAGGAGTAACTGGATTACCCCTTTAATCTGCATGACTTCATTTGGTACCATCCGATAGAAGAAAGGGAATCGGGTTTTATCACTTAGCACTGGATCAAATGAACCATAACTGAGCTGGAGGAGAACACAGGCCACATGTAAGGTGTTGATTTAAAATTCTTTATCTGCAGTCCTTCCGGAAACAGTATTTCCCATCCAAATAACTGTAAGGCAAAACTGGATGAGGTGCTCAAGATCTGTATTAGCAGAATGAGGGTTTAGAAGTTGCTGTTAGCATTTAAGAAAATATATAGGTTTTCTATTGTGTGTGAAGAGCATCTTTAAGAGTAAGGCGGGAGGGGGCATTAAAAAAGTAGAAGCAGGAAAGGTGCAGTAATTGGGAAGCGCTCAGAAAGACATGTCCTGAGATCAAAACATTTTGTTTTCAAGGAGGACTCGAGACTTACTCCCCCCCCCCCCATGGAATCTCAGAGATCGCTTCTTTGCCACTTGGCCTAATTTTATTTTATACACAAATGCAGTGGCTCAGAAGCATCAGGTACTATAGGTCTATGTAAGTGTCAGCATTGGCTACAGTTCAAGATTACTTTTTACATTCTTTTTTGAAATAATAATAATAATAAAATGTTTTCATTTAGACCATGGAACCCTTTGTAATTATGGGCCACATATTCTTTGCCACTCGGTATGATTAGTTATTGACTCAGTAGATCACATAGCTGCATTACATGACAATTGTGTCAACTAATCTTTTTGAAACCTTTTTTTATTTCACTTATTTCTTTTATATCTGCCTGTCATTATTAAAACCCAATGAAAGTGTTTGAAAAGAAAGAAAGAAAGAAAGAAAGAAAGAAAGAGGCTCAAGGGCATCCATGGGTTGGTGATCCCTGTATTAGACATTACTAGTGAATACCCATAGATGAAGCATACTACATTGATAGCTTTGGAGTTACTCACTAGTACAACCACTCACTAGTAAAGCCTTCCCTGTAACAACAAACAGAGAAAGTTAGCCACATAAACATATTCACTACTGGAACTGGAAAATACTAAAGTTAATTAGGCTGGTCTTATATTTAACAAAATCTAATATATAGTATTTAAGTATCTATAAATGTAAAATATGGCTGGCAAAGATTTGCAGGTTCAAAAGGTCTTCCTGAATAATACCATGTTTAGAAGATGCCTGAAAGCAAACTGGGATTATATCTGCCAATCCTCTGTTGCAAAAGAGTTGCACAGGGCCATTTCAATGTGTTTGATGGTACATAGTCACTGAATGTTCAGAAGGTACCATCTTCAGTCCTGTGCATCTAAAGTTCAAGTGACTCACGACAAACACCTCTTTAAGAATTTGCTGAGCTGCTGCCACTCAGAATAGACACAAAAGATCAATAGCTGGTTCATTATATACACATGGGCATTCACAGGAATTTTGAGCGGGAGGCAAGATTGGGGGAGCAATGCTGGAAAAAATGATAAAGCTAATTTCTCACACACAAGGAGAATCATGTCTACATTTTGTTTCACATCTCAGGTTCTAAAAATACTAGAATCTCTCTCTCTCTCTCTCTCTCTCTCTCTCTCTCTCTCTCTCTCTCTCTCTCAACAAAGGGCTCATCAAGAATTGACCTCACCTTACCACTTTCCCCCGGAGAAAACTTGATCTTTATCACTCAACTGGAGCAAATGCCAGACAGGTTTTCTCTGGATTAACATTTGCTCCAATTTATCTCTAGAGAGTGGGTTTTCCCAGGAAAAGTGGTAAAGCAAGAGCAAAACCAGTCACACCTGCGCCTAGAAAGTGTGGGACAAGCAGAAAACTCGAACTCATTATTTCTTGGCACGTGACAAAGTGTGGATGAGTGGAAAGCTGGGAATCTGAGGATAATACTTTACCATGGAGGAGGGATTGTTCCCTATGGACATTTATGTGCAAAAGAATGACACATTGTTCATAAATCAAGAAACCATACTCAGGGGGAGGGGAGTTCTCACCCACAGCTTGCCCTCTGAGTCCAAGTAGGGGCTTAAATTGCAAGACATGTAAGACCATGAATCCCAGTGTTAACTTCTGTTGACTCAAAATGGTAAGGAAACAAAAAAAATATGAAACTGGCCCTTTGATCTCTAATGTAATATTGTATGTTGTTAATTTCAAAGGGTTTTGATTTTGTGCAGATCCATGGCATTTGTTTTGCCTTTGACGAAAGTCTAGCTAGCTGTCTAGCTATCTCCATGTATCCATCTCTTGCCATCTCTATCACTTATCTTTTGTAAGATCTGCTAAGGTAATTATAAGCACAAGCATATATATAGTTGCAATGAATCAAGTGAAAAGAGCTAAAACATCCAGGATGGGGGAGGAAAATATAGTGAAATTTTTGCAAATGTTCTTGAAAGCCTTGCAGGTTGTTTGCTTACATGAAATTCTGTTTCAGCCAATATAAACAATATAAGAAAAACCACGTGTTTGGGTGTATACATACAATTAGCAGCAACACATATAAAATGTGCACAAAGAAATGAGGGTGAATGCTTATTATCTTGCAATCAGAATGAATGCTCAATTAAGACTGCAAATCTAACCTTTACAGTGCTTTGTCTAAGCAAATCAGGATGAATGTTTAATAAATGAATCATTTTGATGAATGAATAGTCCTCTGAAAGTACATGACCCCTCTTCCCAATCCAAAAGTCCATACCTGAGCCATTTTGTAGGTGCTCGCAATATTTGATATTTCAATGGAGTTTTCAGATGCAAGTCCCCCAACAATGGCCAAGACACTATTCTTTGTATCACAGTTATAATTATTGGTCCTAACACCTCCTGATGTGAGCAACTGCATTGTTGTGAAATAAGTGAGTCTTCCATCGCAGAAGTTGTCAAGTAGACGGAAACCCAGGGTGACATTAGGTATAAGCTTTGGATTCTTGTTGACTTCAATAATGGCAAACCAAAAAGCCAGGAAATGTTGGATATTCTTAGGTAGTATCCTACAACATGGATTGGACTGATAGTTACAAATTTTTCAGCTGGCAACTACTTAAAGAAAAAATGTGAGACATATCAGTACAGTATTTCTAATACGTGTTTCCAATGAAAGAGGCAGAACTAAAAAGATGAGATTACATTGACCATGCAACCTTAATTGCATTCAAATGTGAACATCAAAGTGTAATGACATTTGCATACGGATATAGTTTTGAGTTATTGAATTGCTAGTATAAGTATTCAATAAACAATGAGCCATAAAAAAATTATATTTTTCTTATTCATTGCACAAAGTCTCAAAATTTCACTAACCCCCCCTCCACGCTGAAGTAAATGCTTTTCTAGTGTTCAGTTTCCTTGGAATGGATGTCAGCTGAGACTGTAGTGTCTTTGGGATATACACATAACATGCAACATGAACATAGGAGTGAGGGGCTCAATGCATTAACAACCAAAACCATATTGCTTCTTCCATTTGGATCCAGCACAGATGGCAGCATAGCAACCCCTGCTGGCGCCTGGGGTGGAGCTTTTTTTAAGAGATCAGCCAAAGTTGTTTAGCATTCTGAAGGATGGTCAGTGGCTCTGCCATTCTCTTTCTGAGAATATTTGCACGTAGATTTTGGCATACTCTCTGAATCAGCTATCATATTAAAATGATTTCTATTTCATTCTTTAAAAATATGAACCAGAGTATTATAGGGCATCTTCATGTGATTAAGCCCTTTGGAAATTAAATAGATAATAAAAAAAATAGATACCAATTAATTTTTGAAACACGTGTGCAAGTGTGGGGTGAGGGGCTTTTTTGTATTTATTCAAATGTAGCCAAGGACATTTTTTATATTTCAAAAAAATGCATAGTGCTTACCTTGTCAGATAAATACCAGCATCAGCAGCAGATTCCCGAAAGCTGTTGAATTCAAATGCAGCTGAACGGAATGAAAAAACACCACCAATAGTATGACCCCCTCGCTCATATTTCTCAGACATTACCAAATCTCTTTTTGAAGTGTGGCTACATATCATACTTTGCTGAACTGTATGAGGAATTAGGAGTAGCAATAGAAGGAGTAGCATAACTGTTTTGTAAACCAGCAAAGCCCTTCACCCAACAATGGCCAAAACTGGATAGAAGTCTCTAGCACACAGAATTGCAACCTAAGCTACAGCAGACCTCACAGAGAGAAGCCTTTTCTCTTTCCAAGCTGAACTTACTCATTTGTTGAAACTGGTGCCTCATTTAGCCTAATGTCATGACCTATGGACTGCACAGGACTTTTCCTTCAGTGAACTAGCTACAGGAGTGAGGTTAATAGATCATTTAATTGCAGCATAGCACCAAAGTCAAAGCAAGTCTACCAATATTTGCAACAGTGTAGTCAAACTGAGACACACACACACCTCCACCCAATACTGGTTCTTTAGACCACAAAAATCTTAGATAGACAGTATCAACCCTGTCTTTTCCCGCAGTCTTGACAATGTATTTTAAATGCCTTATTTATACAAGTTAACAGTTGGCAGGTATTGTATCAAACACACAGAAAATATTTTGCAAGTAGCATCTGTGTATCCACAGGGCCTCAGAAAGCAGGTGGCAGGGAGAGAAGCAATTATTTCAATAATTGCAGGGGTGGCAATACTCTCCCAACAATTGTCTTCCAGGTATAGCAATGTAGCTGGAAAACATATCTGCAAAATCTCAGCTGTACTGTGGTATACTTTTTTGTTTTGAAAGGGGAAAAAATAGTGTAAGACATAGGATTGGTCTTGTGAAGGGAAGCTGAGAAAGAAATGTCCTGGGATCAGAATATCTGCCTTGTGCTTCACCATATTAGAATGGGCTTTAGGACATGTATCTAAGTCTACCATGTGCTTATGGCTTTTTGGGGGGGGGACCACCTGCAAAATTAAATGTGATTTCCTCTTCAGTTAGAGAGAAGCTAACTGATTATTGCTAATGTTAATGACTCACAGAAGCAATCCATAGATGTCCCTGAAGTGCTCAGAAGAATTTGTTCATTTGCTTAAAGTATTTATATTCTGCCATTGTGCACTATGATAACTTAGATTACTCACTGAAGAAAGCCAACTGCTAATGGAGAGATATTTGATTCCATTGTCATTGTGGGCACCCTTTGCCTAAATCAGTCCATAATATAACTAGCAAAGCTGTGCACCCTTTCCATTCTTGGGTCACATACACAGTTTCACACACCTATAGCATGCCATATAGTACTCTCTAGTACTATACAGAGTAATTAAGAAGTACAGACAGGGATCCCCAACCTCGCCCTGCTTTGGAGCAGATATTTATTTTGCATTTATTTTTGTAGTTTGCGTGTTCGGAGGCACCCCGCTGCATTCCAAGAATCATGATCTCCATTCCATCTGCATTTACAGTGGTGTCCAAACTTTTTTCAAAGAGGGCCAGATTTGATGACGTGAAGGGCCGACCAAGAGGCTGACCAAAGTTGTTGAGCTTTTACCCCAGGAAATAACTGCCACAGGGGGCTGGATTAAACCGACTGGCAGGCTGCATTAGGCCCCCAAAACGGACTTTGGACATGCCTGTCTTACAACAAGCATTCACTACTGGGTGGTGGTTGGCATGGTTTTTGCTGGGAATTTTTGCAAGTGTTGCCTCCTGGGAACATCACAATTACCTCCTGGGACTCAGTTCCCTGCCTAACTGTTGTCTGAGAAACCCCTCAAGAATGCTACCCACTATTTCATTCTTCATCAGCTCCATTTCCCCCATACACTGGGCCTAATGTGCCACAAAAGGAGAGTTCAGAAGTTTCCCTGAACCTGGAATCAAGTCATTAAACAACTTGTGCTTGTGCATATATAAACAAAACTACCAGTGGATTTAAAATTCAAATCTTATTTTTCTCTCCAGATGCTCTTCTATGTAAATAGCTGGAACAAACTGAAATAAACTGAGTTCTAGTACTAAGTTACCCCAAACAACTATGTAATGAAGTCTACCTCAGATTTTTTGAATTTCATATATAGGCATTTCAAAATATTTGATAGTTGAGTGAATAATGTATCACAGTAAAGGTATATAGCAGCTAGCGGATATACTAAACAATAAATAGTGGTAACTATTGATCACAGAGTTCTAATATTTATTTATTTAATTTATAAAAGCATTTATATACGGCTAAATCACAAAACATATCAAAGTGATTTACAACATGAGAAAGGTAAAAACTATACAGTACAATAAATGCATTTTTAATTAAAAGAAAATAGAGAGTCATGCAATATCAGAAATCTAATCTGAAGTTTCCAGTAGTCTAAATTATGTAGTGCAAGAAGTTCTCCCCCCTCTAAGTGAAGAAGTTACACATGACCCCCTAATTAATATAAACTATACCTGAAAAGTTGAAATCTTGTGGATTATCTAATAACAACAGACAATTGAAAGGAAACTCCCCCCCCCCCTTCATTTAATTTCACCTTCATGTTTTCTATTTAAAAACCATTATCCCAACTTTGGGTTATTCTTTGAGTAGACTGCATGCTTAATAAAAAGTGACTTGAGGGCATCTTTCACCTGCTGATTTCTCAGACTGAAGATGAATGGACTCATCAGGGGTGTCAGCACTGTATTGATCAAAGATACCATCTTATTAATTGATGGGTTGCTGCCTGAGGGCCGTACATACATGAAGATGCAGCTACCATAGCCAAGACTGACAATAATAAAGTGGGAGGAACAGGTGGAGAATGCCTTGTGGCGCCCAGAGGCAGACGGGATCTTGAGAATGGTTTTTATTATGTAAATGTAGGACACCACTGTGAAAATTAAGGATCCCATCACTGTGACTGAGGATGAGAAGAAACTCAGTAGCTCCACAAGACTAGTGTCAGCACAAGCCAGCTTCATCAAGGCTACACTGTCACAGAAAAAGTGATCAATATTATTGTTACAGAAAGGTAGATTTATAACCAGGATGGTGGGAAAGATGGTAGCCAAAAAGGCAACAGTACAAGATCCGAGGACTAGCCATGGGCAGAGCTGAGTACTCATAATTGCTGTGTAGCGCAATGGGTTGCAAATAGCCACATAGCGGTCGTATGACATGACTGCTAATAGGACAAAGTCACTGCTTCCTAAGAAGAAGAAGAAATAGCACTGAGAAAGGCAAGCTGGGTACGAAATTGTTGTGAAGCCTAGCAGAAGACTAGTCAGCACCTTTGGCACTACAGTGGTTGTGATTAAAATCTCTAAGCAGGAAAGATTCCATAAGAAGAAGTACATGGGTGTGTGTAGGTGATGATCATGAATGATGATCATGATGATCATGAGGTTTCCAGATACGGTGAGCAGGTAGCATGCAAGGAGGATGACTCCCATGAGATGTTCCAGCCGATGCAGTTCTGGAAAGTTAAGGAAGATGAAGTCTGTAATAACAGTTTGATTCTCTGTCATGGTTTCAAGGATTCCTGAGAGAAAGAAGTAGAACTGGTGGGTGGGAGGGGGAATTATTTAATATAAGACCTCACAAAAGTAAAATGATACAAAAATACAAATAAAATAAAATACCATGGAGTGAAATACAATATCATATAATAACATAAAATGACAACTTGCAACTTATTTTTTTTGGGCACATAGATAATATAGCAAGAGATAAAAAAAAGACAAAGAGAGGTAAGCCTGGTGACAGGACACACTCAAGGAAACACAACATAATCGTGTGTTCATGTTTATGTTTGTTGTTAAAGAATCATATTTAAAATTAATATTCCTGGAAGGCAAAATGAATATGTATGTTTCTGTGTGCATGTGTGTGTGTGTGTGTGTGTGTGTTTCCTTTTTCTTCCAAGAGGGAAAAAAATGGAGCAGTAAGGTGAGGCAAATGGAGAAACAGAAGATGAGCTGAATAATGAAAAAGGGAAAGGCAGATGAACAGCTGAGAAGCATAAAGTTGCCTGCATGGAAAACAGTGTTGTATTGAACTACAAGGGTAGGGCTACAGCTCAGTGGTAGAGCAAATGTTTTGCATGCATTAGGTCCTAGATGCAATCCCTAGAATCTTAACTAGATTTGAGAAAGGGACCTGCCTGAAAAGCTGGAGAGACGCTATGTTCCAGTGTAAAGGTCAGTGGTGGGGTTAGGTTTTTTTTGTTTTTGTAAGAATATGCAAGTTCCTGAATCAGTCACTGCGAGCTGATAAGATTTTGCTACCTGTAGTGGCACCCAAAGGCTCTCCTCCTGCTAGCCTTGTTTTACCTTGAGACCTATGTCCCCACTGTGGAAGGATGTGTGGAATTGGCCTCCACAGTCACTTACGGAGGCACGCACTGTTAAGACTGTGTCCATGGAAGACAATCTTACTTGGCTACGAGTGATTGCCAAAGGAGGAGGAGGAGGAGGAGGAGGAGGAGGAGGAGGAGGAGGAGGAGGAGGAAGAAGAAGAAGAAGAAGAAGAAGAAGAAGAAGAAGAAGAAGAAGAAGAAGAAGAAGAAGAAGAAGAAGACGACCTTTGAGACATTCATTGCTGTCCTTAACTATCCATATCCTTTATCAATGCTGCCCTTATATTCATCCCTGCATTATGTTACTTTATCCTGCTGTATGGAGGCTGCATACGGGTCTTCCTGCTGGGGGATTCAAAAATTTTCTATTCAGATAAAAAAACACTAAACACCCACCCAACTTTGCTAAAAAATATTTTAAAAATAAATGTATTTGTAACTGACATGATATCACAGAAGATTTTAATTTTTATAAGGCATTTTGTGACTCACATAAATCATGCTCCGTGCTTCACAAGTGTTCTTTTACCATTAAACCAAATCTTCAGCAAAAAAATCAGCTGCATTTCCAGGCGATACATTCTAAAGATGCTTGGGGACACAGAGAGATCAGAGGAATATTCATTTGTGTTCCTGCCATTGCTATTGTAGAATTGGATTTGATCTTTTTGGAACCTCACGCACTTCAGAGGTACTCCAGAATAAGCTGTTTTAATAGCTTATTCAGTCAATAGAAAATCACTTGTTCAGATGACCTCCCTGGTGCACATATGATAACTGACCTACAAAGGTTTCATATTCTTTCTAAGAGTTATTTCAGATGGTGCTAAACATTCTCTTCCTTTCACTCAGCTACTATGGCTCACCAAACGATCCTTTAACAACTATACCCTTCCAGCTGATTAGATAACATTTGTTCATAAAATGATTCTCATGAGACTGTCAGAATCACCACAGGGACTAAATAAAATGTTATGCAATACACTAAGATCTGATGTGCAACATGTTCCATTAAAATCAATAGGATTTTAACAGCATAGTCCTATGTATGTCTACTTAGAGATAAGCCCATAGGAATGTGCATAGCAGGGATAGGGGACATTTTTCAGAGTGAGGGCCACATTATCTTCTGAGCAACTTTCCAGAGGATACATGCTGAATCAGTTGGTTCTGAATCAGCTGATTTCAGTTCAGGATTTGGGCTTTGGCTGAACCCAGTGCACAACCCTACAATAAATAGGTCATCTGGAAGCAACCTTAGTCCTAAAATATTCATTTAATTTTGACTTGGGTTTAACATTGCAATCCCACCACATTTTTTTCCCTTGTCTTTTTCATCTCTTGGAGTTTTTAAAATTAATATACTGCATTTAAAGTACTTCTCATATTTCCATTACTGCTAACACAATAAGATCCAACCAAGAATTTATTAATTGATTTATTGTGGCTAAAATATATTGTCTTCAACATTTCTACCCTTATTTTTTATTTTAAACAAAAATACAAGAGATGCTTTGCAAATAATAGCATATCATCTTTTTGTTGGATGGTTCCATTATTACAGATTCTACAGAACATCTAAAAACAAATTTGAGACAATATAGACATACAAATTTAGAACATTTTTAATAATAATTTTAAATATGTTTTGTTTGTCGTAAAGTCTAGGATGCTGTGATGAAGAAGAAACTTGGGTAAAATCCACGATCGGTCATAAAGCACATTGGGCAGCCTCAGGCCATTTACTTTTTATCAACCTAAACTACACCACAAGGCTACCAGGGTTGGGGGGATTAAAGTGAGAACCTTGTATCCTACAATTATCACCTTGAAGAAAATTAAGGGGTGTGGGTGGAATAAATGTAAATTTACAGCCCGTTTCAATCTCCTTCTTTTCTTTTCTTTATGTACTTGTTAACTGAGTCCCTAAAAACTTCCTGGACTTTCTGGTTTCTAAATGTAAAGATAATGGGGTTGAGCAAGGGTGTCACTGCAGTTGTGACCAGAGAGGCAATTTTGTTGAAGCTCATAGAATTGGCTTGGGACGGCCTAACATAAATGAAGACAGAGGTGCCATAGCCAATTGTAACCACGGTGAAATGGGAGGCACAAGTTGAGAATGCCTTCTGCCTTCCTGTGGCAGAAGGAATCCTGAGAATGGTGTTTATAATATAAAAGTAAGAGATGAGTGTCAGTAAAAGAGAACCCAGAAGAATGGGAAGTGAGACGAGGAAGTCAATAAACTCCACAAGGCTGATGTCAGTACAGGCTAAGTGGAGCAAAGGGGCACTGTCACAGAAAAAGTGATCGATCACATTAGGGCCACAGTAAGGCAAGCCTAACTTCATCACCGTGGGAACAAGTATGGAGAAGAATCCACTCATCCAGGAACCTACAACAAGATTGACACAAACCTTCCCACTCATGATTGTGCTGTAGCGAAGTGGGTAGCATATAGCTGCATATCGATCATAGGACATCATAGCCAGTAGAACATATTCAGAGGTGCCAAACAAGAAATAGAAATATGACTGACCCAGGCACCCATAGAAAGAGATGGATTTCTTTTCCAGTAGGAAGTTCTGCATCATTTTGGGCACCACTGTCAGAGTTGCAAAAATTTCAATGACAGACAAGTTGCAGAGGAAGAAATACATGGGGGAATGTAGGCGGTAATCAATTATTATAAGAGTTATGATTATGGTGTTCCCAATCATTGTTGCCATCAGAATGATGAAGAATATCAGAAAGAGGAGGATCTCTATCTCCCAAGGATTTGGAAAACCAGTTAGGATGAACTCAGTTACATGTGTTGCATTCTTCCTTTCCATGTTTCATCATATTTATCTCTCCACCTAGATAAAGAGAAAGCATCTTGTTACAAATGGTATCGGAACCACAGTGCTACATCTCAGATGTCTCCAGACTGCCACCATTTTGCAGGACAGCCAGCTGACTGATTTCCTGGACCTGACTTTTACTGGCTTTTTCCTGCTTTGCTGTATGAGAGAAAATAAATAGCTTAAGGATGGAGAACCTCTGGCTTTCCAGATGTTTCACTCCAACATCCAGTAGCCATGCCCATCATAACCAATAGTCAGGGATAATGGGAACTGTAGTCCAACAACAATGGGGGGGTAAGTTGTTCCCCATCCCTACCTTATCTTATGCTTGGTTCCCAGAAGTATATTCCTCAGTTGCTTATAACATTTAGGAATGTCTTGAGTCACGCATAAGAGACATAATGTCACAGAATGAAGAAGAAGAAGAAGAAGAAGAGTTTGGATTTGATATCCCGCCTTTCACTCCCCTTCAGGAGTCTCAAAGCGGCTCACATTCTCCTTTCCCTTCCTCCCCCACAACAAACACTCTGTGAGGTGAGTGGGGCTGAGACACTTCAAAGAAGTGTGACTGGCCCAAGGTCACCCAGCAGCTGCATGTGGAGGAGCGGAGACGCGAACCCCGTTTCCCAGATTACGAGACTACCGCTCTTAACCACTACACCACACTGGCTCTGGAATGATCCTATTATTAAATGTATATTTTGACTTTTCTCCAAAGTGCTCTAGGTGATGAACATCCCTGCCCCCTTTATCTTCACAGTCACCTTTAGACATAGATTAGGCTGTAAAATGGTTACTTGCCTCAATGCCACCCAATAAGCTTTGTGGCTGAACAGGAATTTAAATGCAGATTTCCCTTGTCCAAGGCCAACACTAATCACCAAACTTCCAGATATTATAGTTGGGGTATACATTCAGTTAATAGTCAAAAATACCTTGTTCATACAAACATACACATTGCTTCATTGGTCTACATTTAATTGCTGCTTAATTGATGATGAGTAGCTGGAAATGTCATTTGGAAAACATTGCACTGGGGTGACGCTAGGGCAAACAAATTTTTTTTTCTGTGGCAATATGTTTAAACATGAAAGTCACTCATTAGAGATGTGAATATTGGGTGAGGAGTTTATATGTGTGCTAGCTGGCCCTAATTGTACATTACTTGTATAAATGTACACGTGCACATTAAATCAAGCTTAATTTGTAAACTAGTCATCAAATTTCTCTGTTTGTGCATTTGATTCTGTGTACTATTATTTCTCTATTTATTGTGATATAGATAATGAAAGTGTCTGGACAACAAGTGCTTAATGCACACACAGTTCCAGTTTATAATGTTACTCCAACACTAACTTACCTGCTGCATATGAAACAGTGTAACATAATGTCCTAATGTATGTGTATATGCACTAGCAGCATTTGTACATATAAGGCTAGAGAGGGCAAATTTCATATATTTGTGCTATAAGTTTTTAATATCAGGGTTTGCTTGCTGTTAAGTGGGTATAAAATTACACACTAGGACACAGGACACACTAGGATACACACTGCAGAGGTTCCCAAAATTTGAGAAAAGCATTAACTTCCTTTGGAAACCTCTTTACTTTTGCAGTGTGTTCTTCCAATCCAGATATCTCCCTAACCTCAAATAAACAGGCAGTAGTAACATGTGAGTTACATGAAGAAGGATGGGCAGCTACCATTTCGATCAACTAAACCTTTCCTTCTGATATCTATGTTAAGACATCAACCACACACCTCAGGATGCTAGTGCCTCTTACATTTATTTAGTTGGGAGACAGGGAAGCCCAGTAATTTTGATGGGCTTTACCTCCAACTACTTGTCTACATGATGGCAGTCTGCCAGAGATTGAATCTTAGACTATTTATATGGAAATCATGTGGTCTGCCATTGAGCTATATCACCTTATATGCT